GATCATAAAAGATGCTAAGAATAAAAAGAATGATTGCGCGGTGGTGTTTCTAGATGTCGTTGGTGCTTTTGACAACATTGGTCACGAACATATAATCGGCTGACTAGAGGCAAGAGGAGTGTCACCGGACCTTAAAAACGTAATTGCGGTTCTCCTGGGGTCAAACCAAATCAAGATTGGAATCGGAGTCCACTCGACTAGCTGGATCAAGGTGCGGCGAGGAGTACCCCAAGGCGGACCCTTGTCGCCCTCGCTGTTCAACCTGGCTATAGATCATCTATACCGCGACCTGTGTGAACAAGAATTTTCCAACTGCTATGGATATAAATTAACCAGCGACCAAGAATGTGTGGTCCTCCCTGGCTTCGCGGGTGACCATGCTGTTACAGCACGTGACAAGGGTGCTGCAGAGAGGATTGTCAATGGTGTGCAGAGGATCCTTGCCGAGATTGGTCTAGCAATAAATCCACAGAAAAGCATGTGCTTAATAGTCGAAAAAGGAGAGCTGCAACAAACAAAGCAACCCTAGAGAACGGAAAAGTCATAGCATCAACAAAGCCTGGTGAAATTATAAAGTATTTAGGATGTGCGTTCTCGGGAGAGCTAGTATTAAATGAGGAAATGGTGACCAAATTAAACAACAACTTAGACAAATTGGTTAGCTCTTGCTTTCTTAAGCCGGAGCAGAGGGGGGCAAATGGGTATGGTAAAAGGAGGGCTGGAGAGGGAGATGGGTGCGGGAATCTCCCCCACTCCTTGTGGAATGATCAAGCAAAAGTGTCCTACCCACTGCTTGTGACTTCCCAGTCCTCCCTATTCCTATCAACACCTACTGTCACCTTCTCATGGTGGCTCCCGGGGAGTCCGATGGGACTCGCGAACGACAGAGGCGGGGATCCACACTTCTGCCCTCTACCTTAGAGAACAGTTTTGTGGATCCTACTACGGCACCCAAGCTAGGTGGAGGGCACTCGAGCCATGGCTGAGTGGCAGGGGGTACCTACAAAAATACTTTGTCAATTCGATCCACTTGGGGCACCCCATTGTATTTAGCCTTCTGCAGGGAGAGGGGTAGTACCTCCCATGAGGAAGGTACTACTAAAGCAAACTTTTAGTCATCCCCATACTCGTGGGAACTAAAATGTGCATAAAGATGCAGCATGGACTGTATGGAAATGGAACTAATAACAGAAATGGGATTGTTAGAGAAGGAAGTGGCTGGGAGATACTCAGAGAAGCCATCAATGGACCCTCGTAAGGAAAATTCATGAAGCCCTACTGAGACTATATCAGCTGAGGTTTCTAAGCTCTATGTGTTTACAGAGGATGTTAAGGGTACGGCTGGTGAAACTGGTGTCCCACCAAAACCCAAGTTCTCTGGTGCGCAGAGAAGGAAGTATAAAAGGATGAAGAGGTTCGAGGCTATGTCTGGGACTGAGCTACTGGTGGCAGCAGCTCCGGCTGTACTGGCACTGATTAGTGAGGAGCCTGGGCCGGTCACGAAGAGTACCAGATCCTCGTCGGGGAACTCGACGCCTGTGGCGAAGAGGGCCAGAAGCGGGGAAGCTGGTGCAATGTCTTATGCTCTGGCGACTGGGGGCAGTAGGGTGGCTATTATCCCTTGTGGTTATCCATCGGTTCAGCTTTCCAGGGAACAGGGAGAGGAGGTTAAAGTGCAGGTGATCAAATTAGTTGATTGTCTGGAGTTCGGTGGCGTTATCCCTGAGTTTAGTGGCTTTAGCCACCATCTGGGGGAATGTATCATCGTCTACGATGACCAAGCCACCAAAGATTGGATCTACAGTGTAGTGGAGGGCTTCACTATCAGTTGGCAGGGAAGCGATTAAACTCCATGCTGGTAATGTATAGGAACTCAAGAAAGCTGTCAGGGTGGATGCATACTTCCCTGCGGAGAAAATCACGGAGGAACTATTAATTAGGAGACTCTGCATTCAAAATGGTAGGACTGAAAAAAGTATCAAGCACCTTGATGGCAAAAATATGAGGGTGAGGTACTGCGTTGCTAAAGTTGCACTTAAGGTGTTTGAGAAGAAGAAGCCGCCCAAACCTAGTGAGCAGACCGCAAAGGTGGGCACTCCTTCTTTAAAAGTTTCCCAGGCAGAGGAGGTAGGGGGAACTTTTGCTTCCACTAGTGGAATGGTAGTAGCGTCTGAGTCAGTTCGGGAGGGCTTATCTCCGGTGGGTGTGGGGGGGGGGTTCTCCAGACCTCACAAACATATCAGGATGGATGTACTCCCTCAGACACCGGCGGAGGGCGGTCTTCCTGCAACTGGCTCCCTCTTATAATGATGGATAAGCTGTTGCAGGTGAATCTCCATCACTGTGTGGCAGCCTGTGGAGTGCTGCAGCAGTACGTTAGAAGTAAGGATATTGATATTGCATTAATTCAAGAACCTTACCTGTTCGAGAACAGGATTAGGGAGCTGGACATGACTGGGCATAGAATTATTGCAGTGCCCGAGTGTCCAAGAACCTAAATCCTGTTCAAGAATAGAATTAAGCTGATGCCTCTGTGGCATCATTGTTTCAGGAACCTGGCAACAGCATAACTGGCCCTTTCTGAGGGTAAGGATGGGGAGAGGATTATAGTGGCAGTAGGGAATCTCCCCTACGAAGAAGACATCTCCATAGCGGCTTAGAAGAGAGGATGGGAAAAGAAAAGGTGATTGCAGGACTGGATGCCAATGCTCACCACAGGATCTGGGGGAGTTCTAAGAAGAACCGAGAGGTGAGTTTCTTTTAGAGTATTTAAGTAACTTCAACATTGAGATTCTAAATAGGGGCAACGTTGCCACCTTTATTAATAGTCCGTTCGGAAGTAATAGACATTACAATAGGCACGCATTGCTTGAGTTCTAGGATAAGGGATTGGCATGTCTCCAATAAAGAATCATGCTCTGATCAATGCTATATCAGATTTGATCTGTCTGGATATAATGTAAATGAGTCTGTGTACAGAAACCCAAAACGTACAAATTGGGAGAGATACTGTACACAGCTAGAGGAAGAAGTCAGAAGCTGTCCTAAGACTATTAGGAATACTTGGCATCTGTAATGCCTTATGTGAAGGCAGCGGGTGTTCAAAAGTGAACCATCAAATCTGCTCTATCAAATCCATAGGAACTGGGTATTGCCTTATTAATTAATTAATTTTTAATTGTTAAAATATTAAAAAAAGAAATCCATTGAGGATAAATATGTCAACACCTCAACTTCTCATTATATGAGGGAATCATGAGGTGCTACACTGAAAATAATAGTATCAGTTGTGTTAGATCTAACAGGAATGTTTCCTGGTGGAATCATGAACTTGGCAAGTTAAGAGCCATCACTAGAAAACTCTTCAATGCCGCTAAGAATACGGGCAGATGGGATACTTATAAGCAAGCCCTAACTGAATATAATAAGGCTGTACACAAGACAAAAAGGGGGGCGTGGAGGAACTTTTGCAGTGATATCAATAACACGTCTTCCATGTCAAGAGTCCATAAAATTCTGTCAAAGCAAACAGACGAATCGGTCATTGGCACGGTCAGGGTTGAAGGAGGAAACACCTGTTCTGGAGATGATACTCTGGAGAGTGCTCATTTTACTGGCTGTCAATGCTAGAGGAGCATGTAGCTAATCCTGCTATGAATAGACACATTTGTGGTAAAGAAAAGTGGGTAGAAGACAGAAGAATCATGAGTTCTAGGAGGGTTGAATGAGCAATTAATTCCTTTGCACCGTTCAAATCAGCAGGCATTGATGGGATTTTCCCAGTCCTGTTACAAAAGGGCTTATCTGTAATTAAACCCTATCTCTTAGAGTTATTTAGGGGAAGTCCAGCACTTGCATATATACCTAATAAGTGGAGGGAAGCGAGAGTCTGTTATATAACTAAGCCTGGAAAAGAGTCTTATGACAATTCCAAAACATATAGACCTATATGTCTGACCTCTTTTCTGCTGAAGGCGTTGGAAAAGATTATAGATAGACACATTAGAGATACTACTTATTGGTAGAAACTACTACTACTTATTGGTAGAAAGACCGCTACACTGTGCCCAATTTGCCTATCAAGACGGCAAATCTTGTGAGACAGCGTTGCACTATTTAGTCTCTAGAATAGAGAAAAGTTTATCGCAAAAAGAGATAATGGCGGGCATCTTCGTCGATATTGAAGGTGCATTTGATCGTACCCCATATGATACAATGACTAGGGCATTGGAAAGTAGAGGGGTTGGACACATGGCTTTGGAATGGATTAATTCCTTTCTGAGGAGAAGAGTCCTTAAATCAGAGTTGGGATTATCTGTACTGTGGTTTAAACCAATATTAATATGATTTTCATTTGGTAAGCAAGGAAGTTAGTTTTTCTGTGTCTGAATGAGGCTAATGAAGATCTAAGTAGCTATATAAAAAAAATATTATTATAGAAAGACATCTTAATTTTTTCATACCATATTTTTAGAGATGGCTGAACAAATAAGTTTTTTATGGGGGTTTTTATTGGTAGTATCCTTAATTCTGGCATGCTTAATTTCATTTTTTAAATCAAATAAATTTAATTTTTAATTCAAAATGATTCTTTGGATTAATTTTTTTTCAATTCTGACAGTCCAATATACTCTAGATTTCTGTTAATGTCTCTTAAACCTAAAAATGGAGATACGTGCAGATGATAATAATCATTTTGATCTTTGGAATTTTTTATTTAATTGTTGAAGTTTAAAACAGTATTACAAAAATTGAATGTTCAATCTTATTAATATAATGTGAAGAAGCTACATATAGTTATACTTCTAATGCAAGTTCAATGTCAGATCCCGAGGCCATCTTCTTTTCAGACACCTTGAAGGATTACTATGAATCGATCGGGAAACAAGATTGGAATTAAAAATTGGGTTTGTATAGTTTTTTAATAGAAGGAAAATTATCTACAAAGCATTTAAGTCCAATTTATAAATTAAAATATAAAATAAATTTAATATTCTCACCAGTATGAGTGCGAACGTGCACCTTTCTGATATTTGATGTTGTAAAAGATCTGTTGCATCCTTTAACAGGGCAAACAAATGGTCTTTCACCTGTAAAACAAGCATGATCATATTTACCAGCTGCATCATTAAATTAAGTAAAAGTTTAATCTCAGTTCTGGGACTTATTGTTTCCAGCAAAGACACCATGATAAACATGCAAAGCACTAATTTTTATACTTTATTATTCACACAACTTAGAACCAAATCATGTAAATAAAATTAAAGCAGTTGAGAATTCATCTTGATTGGTTAACAGGCAGATGCGATATACTGGCCTGTATCCTTTTTTAGATTTTTTTTTACATTTTTAGATTTACATTTTTAGGAAAAAAATCTGTAAATGTATATTTAGGTTATGAGTAACCTTCTCATTAGTCCTAGAGTAAACCATGTATTTAAGAACACATTGGTGAACAGTTATAATAGTAATCTTTTAACATTCCATATTTCACGATCTATGGGCATGAATTACTGCATTTGGCTATATTTAATTTTACTGCTATTGGCTCAAAAAGTCATGTACTTGTAGGAATATCTGACAATAATAAGATAACTCCATTTTTAAATAACTATATCTGCTTATTAACCGTTTAGTGACAATGAATGGGAAAGATGGAGTGGCCTGGAGGACGGTAGTAGCTGACAGCTCTCGGTAGTAGCTGACAGCTCTTGTACTCCTGTGACAGAATACTTTTCATTACCTCTGCTCACCACTTTAACCTTTTTATTTAGGGTATCATTCAAAACATTTTATTTTGTTTTATTTTTATCTAATTTTTATACAATTAAAATGTATTTTTACAACATGACCTTTTTTTAAAATAAAATATGAAGTTTTAAACTTTTATTTGCTATACAATTTTCTTCAGTTGTTGCTGGAATGATTCATTTATATTTATATACAATATAAAGAGGGCAGGAGGCTAAACGAGCTAATGCATGTGCAAAACACGCATTACAAAGCAACCTTTTAATCTAAGGATTACAAGTTAGAGCCCCAATGCTGGGGACTTTTACATCAGACATTAATCTCCCACCCTCTCCCTGGCACAGGAAAATCTCTTATAGCTGAAAAGGCTTCCGACATTAGTTTGGTGATCTATAGGAAAACCGAAACTTGCTCTAGTTGGAATAGCTAAATGCATTAAACCCAATAAATAAACAAACATATTAAATTAAAGTTTATACAGAAATTCACACACAACTATGCATAAAATAATAAAGTATAAACCTGTGTGAATACGAATATGCTTCTGAAGATCGCCGCTTGTCTTGAAACTTTTTGAACAAAAGGTAGAAGGGCAGGCATATGGCTTCTCACCAGTATGAGTTCGCAGATGGGCTTTTCTACTATAATCCGTAGCAAAGGCTTTTGGACACCCATCTATGGGACATTTATAAGGGCGATCCCCTGTGTGATTTCTGGAATGCACCTAAATTTAATTGAACAACAAAAATTTATAAATATAATTTATAAATGGCCCAGAAACCTTGTCTTGAAGAGGGGGCTCCTAAGTTGCATCGAATATTGGTAGATTTCTTATTTTTTCTTGTATGGGATGTTACTGAGATGCAAAACCCGAGTTTTCGATCTTGGCACTCCTCTTAATCACTTTTGAAAATCACAAAAACTGCTAAATTATTGCTGACTTTTCGATTCTTCCTCATTTTGATCATGAAGGAGCACGCTTTCAATAAAAAATATTCTATAAATTTTTAAACTAGATAAATTTGCAACAATTGAAGTCCAAAACAGATTCGTTAAGTTTAATAATTTTTTATATATACAGGTTTTCAAAGTTTTGGAAATTTTTTTAACTTGAAAATTTAAGCTATTTTTCATGTTTGATCATACGCAACTCTGTATATATCTTCAATAACCAATCTTATATAATGCAGTGAAGTAAATTATCATTCATTTTACAATTTTGAAGGAGGGTGAGGAAGGGAGGGAGGTTTGGTGGGAGAGGGAGAGATCACTTTTTACAACAAGAAGACTGAAATTTAAATTTAAAAAAATATTTAACAAGCATTTACATCAAGTGCATATAAAAATTTGTAAATGAAATTCGTAAAAAAAAATTTGTAAAAAAATTGTAAATGAAGTGAATGAAATTTTCGAAACTTGAAAATGTCATGATAATTGCCATGTCTTTAATAACTTGCCTTATAAGAGTTAGTGAAGTAAACATTTATTTAATTTATTATTTTGAAGGAGTGGGATACATGGATATAAGAATGGCTATAAATAATAAGAGATGGAAACTCTATGTTGATTTATGTGAATCTAATATTGTAAGCTAATGGATAAAATAAGTGAGCTAGAATGAAGTGAGTCATTTATTTCGTTCGATCTTCTTCCTAATAAACCAGTGGGCAACAAAAAAAAAAAGGGGTTTATTACATCTTTCAAAACTCTCCTGGACTCATATATATAATTTCAAAGACCAGTATTAAATATGTGGAAAAATCATAGCAAAAAACATAAATATATAAAAAAGCGACAAAGAAAAAACTGCTAGAAAAAAAAAATTCTGCGATCACTGTTGAGAAGATCCGAAATCTTTGAAAATATAACAATAAACTGATGGAAACATTATTTGGTGGAAGAAATATGTAATAGACAGATGAATTAAGCCAACTGCTGAATCTCAGTGACCGAAAAACTAATTCAAGTCAAAGCCCACAAAAATGCAAACACAATGATATGCAATTTATAGTGATGTAGGAGCAGGGTGCATGGTAGGGGGGTCTGGCCCTGGGACTACCCTCTCCCACCAAACCCTTTCCCTCCCTCCATCACCTCTCCTTCAAAATATTAAAATGAATAAATATTTACTTCACTAACTCATATCAGACATGTTATTCAAGATAAGACAATCGCATATGATCAAACATAAAAAATAATTTAAATGGGAAATAAAACTTTCTAAATTTTGAAAACCTGTATCTCGTATACTATTTAATTTACTGAGGCAGTTTTGGTCTTAAATTGTAGCAGATTTAATCTTATTTGAAAATGTATAGAATAGTTTTTGTTGAGAAAGTGCTGCTTCATGGATAAAGTGGGAAAAAACAAAAAAAATGTGAAAATACAGCAGTTTTTCAAATATTCAAAAGCGATCCAGAGAAGAACCGAGGCTGAAAACTTGGATTTTTCATCTGCCACATCCCATACAGGAAAATAAAAAGAAACCTTCTATCCCCATTCAATGCAACTTACAATATACAAGGTTAATGGGCTAAAAGGGTTAGGGGGATATATATTTTTTTCAATGAGTTGTCGCTATAAATGGATTAAGAATAAAAATATTATATAGTCTAAAGATTAATAGGACACCATATTTTGTTAATTTGTTTTCATGCACAATTTCAAATTATTTTATACTAAAATTAAAACATATAAATGAAAAATAATCATTTTTTTAAAGACAAATTTAATCCTTTGCTATATCTCCTCTCTTTGAGAAATCTTTTTTCAAGAAGAGGCTTACAGATGAACTTTCAGAGCTTTCTTTATGACTCACTCATTTAGTTCTAAGAAACTCCCTGACTCACTGATATAAAACATGACTGCTCTCTTGACTACTCATAACTAAACTCTAAGAAGGCTGACCTCGAATGTAGCTCGTTGGAGGCATCACTAAATATTAAACGATAGAAAGATTGAACTCATGGCTGGCCATTACTTGGCTCCGTGTTAAAAAGCCACAATGCTCCAACTTTCTGCTCAATGCCATATAGATAAAATAAAATTCTAATAAATTTTTTTTAATATTACAAACATTAATTTTAGATATTCTTTCCTATCATGTGTTCTTTGAATTAAATTTTAATTGTAGCAATGTAGGAAACCAAATTCCAGCTTAAATTTATTACTTTCACTTGCCTATATATGTAATATATAGTAAGGGAAAGTATTGCGATCGTGAAAATTTTCAAATCTGAGTTTTCAACAAAAATACATATTTTAAAGTCCCCTGAGTCCAAATAACAAAGTCCTGCTAAATGGTCTGTGTGTATGTTATCAGTCTAGCTCGAAAACGAAAAGTTGTACAAAAGTGAAATTGCATATGCCTTGAGGTTTGTATATGTCTAGGATGATACAGAAACTTTTTTGTCAAAATTGGCAAACAGGAAGTGTCACTTCCATAATCGATTTTACACATTTTTACAATTTTCCGGAACACAGCTTTAACTTTTTTTATTACACTCAGTGTATCATAATCTTTAATATCATTTAGGTCTTGACCCCATTGACGTAACTTTAAAGGGCTTAAATGACCAATGGATAGTGAAGAAAAAATATAAATAATAATTGTTGAAGACTATTATTATTTAACGGAAATCACATGTTTCCAAGAAAATTCTATAAATTTCCTAACTCTTTTTTTTTTTTTATTGAGAAAAAATACATTTTGCCTCAATCAAGGGCATTGAGTATTTGAGATGTGAGAAACTCATTCATACAATATATACAATTACAAAAATAATGGAAATTATAACAAAAATAAGAAAAATAAAGCTTAGTAAAACAGATGAAATAAAATATGATACCACACAAATTAAAAAAAAAAAAAAGAATAAATAAAAGGAAAAAAAAAACATTCATGCTTATTAACAATATTTACAGTCACCTGAGGGAACTCCAAGTCAGGCCCTTTCCCCCACGTGTGTAAGATAAGGCAAGAAATCCCAGGACTTCTCTCTCAGCCACTTCACTGAGATGGAGATCCAGTGGAGACTGAGAAAGGGCAAAAAAGCCACATACGCTCATGACTTGAGTGGAGAAGCTGGCCATTGCCAGGACTCCAATGATGTATTTACAAAAGATCTCGAGGAGACTGCCATTTTAACCTTTGAGGAGGATTGTAGGGATGGCTGAAGCTGGATAAGGATTGTGCTAAGGGATTAGGATGATGGATTAGGTTTTGATGAAAATTTGAGAAACGGGATGGAATAACGTCAAGGACATAAGGGATGTTAAGCTCATGATGGAGAGTTTTGTTTGTAACATAATAAGGTATGTTGAACTGTCGTTTGTTAGTTAGTCGGGTCTCAGTTATTAGGGCTATGTCAATGTTATTGTCCTGTAAAAATAAAAGTTAGTTTGTTTATGTGGTTCCGAACACCATTCCCATTCCAGAGGAGAATGGAACACACTCACTCATGTCGTGAGTGGAGAATCTGGCCATTGCCAGAACTCCAATATTTACAGTGAGTGGAGAATCTGGCCATTGCCAGAACTCCAATATTTGCAAACTATAAAAGGTCGCGGGGCCACTGCTGTTTGAACCTCCTTGGAGGATTATAGGGATGGGTGGTGCTGGATAGAGATTATGCAAAGGGATTTGGATGATGGGTAAGATTCTGGTGAAATTTGGATAATTTTGCTAGCATAAGGTCTAGGACAAATGGGATATTAAGGTCATGGTGTAGGGTTTTGTTGATTACATAAAGAGGAGAATCGACTATTGTTCGAAGGACTTTGGATTGGAAGCGTTTGATGTTAGAAAATTTTGCTGTTCCCAACAGTTCAAGTCCGTAAGTCCAAGTAGGTCCGAAATAAACGGATGTTGATACCTAATTATTTGAATATAATATCAGATCTAGAATTATTAAACTATAGTAAATGTATTTAAGGTTATAAACATATGCTTTATAGATCCATGAAATGATTTTAAATTTTACTTCTTCTTTCACACAAGTACAATGTAATAGTTTTTTAAACAATGTCACTGCCTTGATTAAGTGGATTTTAAAAGTTTACATTTAGTGAGTAAATTTTATTTAATTTCCTTGAAAACATGTGATTTACGTTAAATATTATTAGTTTTCGAAAATTATTATTTATAATTTTTTTGCTACTCTCCGTATCTACTACAACTTTCTATATTAGATATTGTTTTTTTCTAAAATTCTCCGCTTTTCAGCGATATATTATACATACATCTTCTCACTATTATTTTCGAATATTCATTTTTAACCCGGATAAGCATTTAATTTTTTTCTCCTTTATTCAATCATCTAATTCTTTCAAAAGTTATATTTAGCATTTTTTCTTAACTCTGAATAATGTGAGATGATTAACTTTTTAAAATAAACCATATTAAAGGTTCTTTAGAGGAAGACATATATGAACATTAGGCATTTAACCCTGTAAAGTGACATTAATGGGGATAAGACCTGATTGATATTAAAGACCACTTAATTATACAATGATACTCCTTAATTATATAATGAGTTTACTCAAAATCGTTAAAGCAGTTCTTGAGAAAATTGTAAAAATGTGTTTCAGCATTGATATAAAGTGGCACTTCTGGTAAGTCGATCTTAAGGAAAAGGTTGCTGTCACATCTAAGGACTATACCTATCTTAAATACGTAATATCAGTTTCGTACGACTTTTCGTTTTTGAGCTAGACTGCTAACAT